GAAATAAGGTTTAAGATTTAACAATTTTTTTAATAGAATATTTGAGCTTTTATGTATTTTTGCCTTTCCGCGAAGTGAGAAGTGAATTAATTGAATGAGAAATATTCAATCGTCTGTGCAAAACTGTTTCTTTTTTGTTTTGTTTGTTAAATTTCTTTTAGATATCATTCTAGCTTTATTATAGTATTTGAATAGAACACACGTGGCTGCGATTAGATAATTCTATTCTTTAAATGATATAAATTTTGTGCATTAGGAGCTCTAATATGAACGAAATATGTTACTGTAAATGAACCTAGCCCCAAAGTGTCGCTATGGTAAACAAATAATAGAGTGAATTTTAAAGAATGAATAGAAGTAGAAGTTTTAAATGCGTATATTTATATTTTCTTCAGATTTTTTTTTTGTTTTTTTTTTTTTTTTTTTTTTTTTTTTTTTTTTTTTTTTTTTTTTTTTTTTTTTGTTTTTTTTTTTTTTTTTTTTTTTTTTTTTTTTTTTTTTTTTTTTTTTTTTTTTCTTTTTTTTTTTTTTTTTTTTTTTTTTTTTTTTTTTTTTTTTTTTTTTTTTTTTTTTTTTTTTTTTTTTTTTTTTTTTTTTTGTTTTTTTTTTTTTTTTTTTTTTTTTTTTTTTTTTTTTTTTTTTTTTTTTTTGTTTTTTTTTTTTTTTTTTTTTTTTTTTTTTTTTTTTTTTTTTTTTTTTTTTTTTTTTTTTTATTTTTTTTTTTTTTTTTTTTTTTTATTTTTTTTTTTTTTTTTTTTTTTTTTTTTTTTTTTTTTTTTTTTTTTTTTTATTTTTTTTTTTTTTATTTTTTTTTTTTTTTTTTTTTTTTTTTTTTTTTTTTTTTTTTTTTTTTTTTGTTATTTTTTTTTTTTTTTTTTTTTTTTTTTTTTTTATTTGTTTTTTTTTTTTTTTTTTTTTTTTTTTTTTTTTATTTTTTTTTTTTTTTTTTTTTTTTTTTTTTTTTTTTTTGTTTTTTTTATTTTTTTTTTTTTATTTTTTTTTTTTTTTTTTTTATTTTTTTTTTTTTAGTTTTTTTTTTTTTTATTTGTTTTTTTTTTTTTGGGTTTTTTTTTTTTTTCGAACTTTTTTTTTTTTTTTTTTTTTTTTTTTTTTTTTTTTTTTTTTTTTTTTTTTTTTTTTTTTTTTTTTTTTTTTTTTTTTTTTTTTTTTTTTTTTTTTTTTCTTTTTTTTTTTTTTCTTTTTTTTTTTTTTGTTTTTTTTTTTTTTTTTTTTTTTTTTTTTTTTTTTTTTTTTTTTTTTTTTTTTTTTCTTTTTTTTTTTTTTCGAATGAGTGAGGTTCAATCCAAAAGATGGCGTTTTTTTTTTAAACAATTTTTCTTTTTTTTTTTTTTTTTTTTTTTAATCCTGGTTTTTGTTTTTTTTTTTTTTTTTTTTTTTTTTTTTTTTTTTAAAAGAAAAGGAACTATATTTCTGGAAATGGAAATGCTTTTAGAGTTTTCTTTCAATAACGTTGGTTTTCATTACTTTACTAATTTCAATAATTCTTTTATTAGCTAATATATTTTCTTATGAACGAAAGATTGTTAAAAAGTGACACAATATAACTCTTACGAATATACATACCTTTACCAGCATACACACATTACCGATTAAAACGAAGAAAGACACAGATATTTTACTCCAATCTATATTAAATTTCAAAAATATTTAAACTTTCATACCTTCCGGAGTACAAACGAGAACTAAATAGATATTGTTATTTTTGTATATTTTAGATAAAACTTTTATGAATGAGATTTGAAGTAATACTTTGAACTTCATAAAAGTGAGCATTCACTACGTTAATACATATATCATCAGTTATTTACATTAATCAATGTAATATCATTATTCATTACATGTACTATATGCATATATAAAGTTTAATTATCTTATGGCTGAATAATTAGCTATTGGGAGAAAGAGGTCCATATCTTACACTATTTAATTCACATTGAATAAATTTTCTCAAGACCCACATTGAACCACGTTCATTAATTTCGTGAAGGCTCTTTTTTTTCTGCATTTTCACACTCACGACACATTTTAAAAGTAACTACTGATTACCATTTCAGACACCGATATCATAACTCAATGTAACACTACACCATAACTCAATTTTTACTTACAATTTTATATATTCAAGAAGTACATCTAAGACTTGATCATTTTCTATGCTCTAGAAAATCGATTCATTTGAGAACAACATACCATTAAGACTTGTGATTTTAGTAGACTTTCATGTATTAACGATGTCATCGTTTCTTCGTTTTTGCAAGATTCGCATCAAACCATGTCGCATTCAAATGGGGTGGTAATAGATCCCTTTTATGTTTGTTGTTTGGTTGTTTGAAACACTTGTAAACAATGAACGCAATTTCTAAGAAGAAGAAGTATCAGGTTGTTTCAAAACATCCTCATCAGTATTTGTTTTTAACAGCTGCTACATTTAAAAAACAAGTTTGATGAGATTTCATGAGTTTCTTTAAATTCTGTTTCACTTGAAAAAAATATAAATATATGCACATATAAAACAATCCATTACTATCCAGCTTGATCCACTTACTTCTCTTGATACACCAACCCTCTGAACACGGTGTGCTGCAGATTTGTAAATTTTTATTTTTATTATTTATAAATTTTATAGCTTATTGAACTATTTTTTTTTTACATCTATGCACTTATGGAATTTAAGTCTAATCTATAAGTAATTAAGTCTAATCTATAAGTATGCAAATAAAACATTACTAAAATTAAATAAAATAATAATAAAGTATTCCTCACAAAGTAATATATTATGTACTGAACTATTAAATAAAGTAAGTAAAATAATACATTGTACATTATTTTGTACTCTTTCCGTCGCTCATGACTATAAGAAAATAAAAGATTGTACACTATATACGCAAAACACGATTAAGGAATGAAAAAGTATACTTCTTGTATCGTACAGGATAATATATGATTTCAAAGGATGGTAGAAATAAGAGTAATTTCCTTTTTTCTCGCACAAATGGCATACTATAGTAGCTTGAAGCGCTAAGAGAAGTCTTTCATTTTGAGCCCTTATTGTGACAAAAGTACCTTTAGAAGAACAGCCATAATACATTACTAACAAGAATGGTTTGGTTTGGTTTATTGAGATTACAGCAAAGCACACTAGGGCTATCTGCCTAAGGGTAGGGATGGCTTCGTGGAGGACTTTCTAAGGGAAACCGTCTCGTATACACGTTACACATAGAGAAAACCACGAAAACGCCCATGCAGCCGGCCCGTTCGCGGGATTCGAACGAACCTCGGACCGAACTACCAGTATTCAGCGACTTCATACATTGTACATGTATACATTGTACATGTACATACATTGTATCGCTCGGCCGCTGGTGGGCCCTAATAAGAATGCTAGAAGTAAGAAGGGAAGGGAAACAATGGTGAATTAAATATTTTATCGCAAATGATAGCCAAGATTCCCTACCAACATATTTATGACCCATCGAAGCTGGGGTGTGAAGACAGGGGTTGGCAAGTTTCCCTGCAGCATACATATATCTACGTATATATATTACGGTGAAACACCGAAATTTAGAGAATGTCGACTTTCACCGGTGAATGTCAACGTTCACATAGTCTCTTGGTGTATGTCCGAAATATTTTCCAAATACTCTTATTTCTGACTTACACCGGTCAATGTCGACATTCCCCATGTACTAATGGTGAATGTGAACATTAACAATATTAATTTTCTTTTTTCTCCGTAATTCAGTCGCGGAATAAACGCACTTGAGACTTGAAATAAGAACTTAAGAATATGAGAACCTAAAAAAACACACAAATTCAAAATGAGAAAGGAAAATAATAGAAGTTAAAAACTTACTTAATTATACAGTACGTTCTAGATGAGAAAAATAAAATAACAGTCATAAAAAATTTACTAAATTATGTGATTCAAATCTTATTTATTGCAACAACTTAAACTATTATGGCACTTTACGACCTCTCTTTTCGACTTTCACCAGAGCATATCTGTGATTGTCGACATACACCGGTGAGGGTTCGAATATACAAGAACGTAGTGAAATATTCGGTCTTTCACCGACGTATTTGGTGAATGTTGATATTCTCCGGTGAAAGTCGACATTCTCCAATTTCGGTCTTTCACGGTAACATATACATAAGTTTTATAAAGATTTCTATTTTTCATATTCAGTTACATCGGCCCAGAAACGAAGTTGCAGATACGTGGAAAGACAGTATCAGGCTTGTTTGAGCTGTTCATATCCGCTATATTACGAAATGTTGTTAGTTGCATTTCGAAACTTGGTAGTTTGTGAAACTTAACGTCATTCTCCTTTCTCTTTTGCAGTTTAAGGCCGCGGATACGGTGGCACGACTGTACTTACTTTAGAAATTAAAAAAGTAAAGAAAAAAATTAGTATGCCTTTTAGATATCAAAAGTATTAAATCCTGCTGTGGAAGTGGAGCAAAATCCATTGTATCCGTTCTACCAATTTATAAACTTCTTTGACACAGAATACACCCGAGGAAAAAATAGCCTGTGTATTTAATGTCTAGAACGACGTCTGTTATTCTTCAGTCACCCTTTTTCTTTCACATACAGCCTTTAAATCTTACAATCATTGTTTTTTGTTCACCGTTTAGCTTAAATCCTAGCTGTAAAAATAAATAAAAGAAAGTAAAAAACTAAAGATGAAAGGGAGAATTGGAAACAACTGTAGAAACGATAAATCCCACGGATTAGGAGGATTGGATGTGAAATCGATCGCATGGAAAGCGGTGCCGAATGCACCACTTGCGGGGCGAAGGGGCGGGGCCCAGGGTAGAACTCTGCTCCTATCCGCTTTCGGCAAACCTGCCGATAGTCGGATAGGCGGCCAATCGCCGGAAGCCGCCTAATCGGTTTACCTTTCGCCGACTCCCCTGGGGGATTACGGGATCACGATCCACGTTTCGCACGCAGGAGCTAATCGTCTGAACGGCCTTCCTTGCACCGTTGGTGTGTTGTGTGTCTCATGAAATGCTCCGACCAGGATATCAAGACCATGACATTAATCCTTCTAAATTAAATCAATGACTGTGCAATGTAAATATACATGATTTCATAGAGTTTCAGAACTGGAGAGCTTGACTCTGTTTTCAACTAATTCAGTGTAGGCGCATCAAAAGTGGACAGTAAAATTTCTGTATTCTCATCATGCTACCCGGTTATCCATCCTTCCATAATGCTTACCCTTGTTGCTTAGTGACGGATCTCTTTAGGACACCGGCTGCCCCGCAGAGACCAGCGACTTCTTTTTCCATCGATAGCATATTGTCTAGAGACTCATCTTCAAATACTACCCGCTTAGCGGCTGCTTCTGGATCGTGGACCTCTTCTGCACCTCCACTTCACTATCATCACCATCATTACACTGGCACCGATCTGTGTGGTAAGTCGCGAAATTTTAAACAGTCATACCAGTAAAATTGCTTAACTGTCCCTCTTTTAGTTAGGTTTTGTTTTTAGTATTCGAGATCGCATTTATCAAGAGGTATGGGAATGATTTTTCATTGCCAACATTTCTATTGCATCACGATGTACCTCTAACATATCGCGCACAAGAAGAAGCGAATGAAACATTTATTAAAATTTTTGAAATTTCTTGTTTATATCCTCTAACCCCTTTCATTGCAAACTAGGCAATCCACTCCGATATTAAAGTTCTAGATGCGTTTAAATAGCCGAAAAATGTAAATAAAAGCACGATACGAATGTACAGGAAAAGGGAGAGGGACGAATTATCTGTACGGGACGAAGTAAGTTGAAGCGGAACGTCGAATGTATGGGTTCTAGTTCTAAATAAAAAAAGAATCGAAACTGTAGAATCTTCGAAAAGTGGGAGAGGCTTGATTGTTGTTATTATCAGTATCTTGAAAATCTTTCAAAGTCTGAATTTTAATTCTTTTCTCAATGTCTTCGAATATGCTATTCACACGTATATGTAAATAAATATTAAAATTTTAAACTATTATTTTTCAATAATCATCTGATCTAACTGGTAAAAAGAAAGCAGAAGCTTCAGAATTTTTTCATGAGTATTTATTAGCCTTATGCTAACGTGTAATTTAAGTTGTTCTCGCAACTTTAGAAAAGTAATTGCATGGGTCTTTTCAATATTCTGGTATTTTTCGTCTACTCTAACTATCAAGACACATCTAAGTTAAACTACCAAGAAAGCGTCTTAATTGAAGAAGCTTTGTTTGAGAAATTTTAATGTAAATATTTAGGAAAGAAGCCTCTTGAGTTGAGTCTTATTATAAATATGCAATACTCTATCGTCAAAGTTAAGAGAAGACCAACTTCAGTACTGATTTATTCAAACTTATAAAAATTAGAATCATATTATATTCTCATTTCTATACATTTCAACAATTAGATAGATTACGCTAACTAAGAAACAATTAAAAGACATCTCTTTAACGACCTATGCCTTTCCGAAGGAACTTTCTTGAGGAAACTGATTCATGTTTACGTAACACATAGGAAGGAGCACGAAATCCTGAAGTAACCAGGCTGCCTAACCACAGGGGGGGGGGCTATTACATACGTTCAGTGAGCTTTATGCTCGATACCTGGTGTTCTTGTGTTCCCTTATAAATTTGACAGCAATTTCTTCAATTTATTTGCTATTATAGAATCGAAAGAACTATGCTCAAGGTTTGATGAAATTGAACAGGCGATACAATTTTCGAAAATGAGATTTGTTCGACTAATGCGTCATAGTTTTAAAAATTTTTTTCAGTCAAAAATATGCAGAGTAGTTGATAAGAAACAAATTTCCGAACATTTCCAATCTGAAAGTTCTTTTTTTTTTTCTTCTAACCCATCGTTTAATATTAAAGAGTAAAAATACAATCCAAAAAAATTCGCAGATTTTTAAAAATTTTAAATTATAAAAAGATAGAAAGCTGGCATGCCAATGTTCTATCTTCTTATTAAAAATATAAATATACATTTTTTTTTTTTTTTAAATTTTAAAACACAAACATACTGCAGAACATATTTAAAGCAGTCAAGATGGACGCAGTATGCTATAACGACGCTGAATTATAGGGGATAAAAATTCGTTGTAAATAATCAGAAGACAACAAAAAAGAATGAAAATATTTCATGAGAACTGACAGAAGGTTTAAAAACTATTGCTATAAGAATGTTTTTTTTAACATATTATGTGGCTAGAATTGCCATCATATGTTATGATGGCACTTCAGGAACAGTAACATATTAATAATATTAAATAATAATTTATCCATAGTAATAATATTTATCCAGAGGAATAATAGTTATCCACAATATAATATTTATCCATAATAATAATAATGATGATATATTTATCCATAGTTTCAAAAACATCCTGAGAGCAGAAGACGGCACAAAGTGCAGAAATGCTTAAGTAATTTTATTCATCTTTAAAATCGCGGAAAATCACTTTGCGTGTGTCATACACGGTGTTTAAGGAAGCTAAAATTTAGCCTCTAAAAATTCTTTAATGCATTATATTCATAGTAAATATTTCGAACATAAGCTAAGAAATTTAAAAAAAAAGAGGGGAAGGAATGCAATAAACTTCAGCAAAGTTTTGCTGGAAAAAAGTAGATAGTTAAAGTATTTCGATTCTCATAAAAGCAAATTTTATATTATTTTAAAATTTAAAGTGGAGATAATAATGAATCATTTAATAGTACAAAATTAGGTAATTCATCCATTTCCTTTAAGATTTTCTCGTCTGATGCTTTTTGTGATAAAAAGTATAATTATTCATATGAAGTACATTTTTTTTTAGAAATAAAATATTTTTATTTACGATTTTGAAACAAATGCTTTGTTGTGAAAGCAGAATCCTTGCTAATCTAATTATTCTATTAAAGAAATCATTCTTTTCCGCTAATTAAAATTAAAGGTAAAAAACGTAAGGATTATTTAATAATTAAAGTGCTGAAAGTTTAATTAAATTCTGGATTCTAAAAACTGATAGAAAAAAAAAAAAAAAAAAAAAAGACTTTCAGTCAAACAAAAGCTTAACGTATTTTAATTTTAAATTATCAACCAACAAATTATTTTCTATTTAAAAACCCAACTTTTGGTTCAGTTAATCATACAAATTTATGTATACATATAGATATATAAACTTAGGTAGACATATACATGCATAATTAATTATTTCAATCAATAGTAGAAAAATTTGAAAGCTCTCAGATTTTATATTACGTCCAAAGGGACTTTTTTTAACTTTTTTTGTGTAACCTTTATTTATCAAATATCAAGTTCTTTGCACTTAAGTCACATAAAATTCAAGTCGATAACAATAACAGAAAATATTTAAAAACAGCATACCTCTAGAATTTTTGATAGACTGTCTCGCACGCTGGAGATTTTTTTTTTTTTTTTTTTTTTTTTTTTTTTTCCGTACAATGTTGCCAATTCCCGTTTTGAAATCGTTGAGTTTGATAATCGAAAATTTGTTGAAGATATTAAATAGATAATAAAATGAATTCGAAATTCAAAATTAGGGCTTCCAGGTGCCGATGTTCTGGTGAAGGATTACGTTATTCAAAATTGGATGGCTCTAGGTACCGTCGTTTTTTCACAATGCGAGAAACATAAATACATTCATACAGATTCTTCATTATTTAATATCTTTAAATATAATACAGGGCGATAATATTTGGTGGCAACAATTTAAAAAATGATACTCCGTTTATAGTAAACCGAAGCAAAATGCCGTTTCAAGACTAGTAACCCTTCTGAGCTAAAGCATTAATTTAACATTGTGTTGCCAGTTCTAATTATAATTATCTCATTATGTTTATTATTTTGTTTATTTATGTTTATCTCCTATTTTGTTGCCACCAAATCAGATGTTTCAATTTATCTGTGAATCTCAAATGTATTTCTACTATTTTGTAATAATATGCCCACACCATTATTTTTAATAAATACTGGATGGGGCGTACTGTGGAATTGCACGAGTACCATAATAGGCAAACTTTTAGACCTTTTGAAAAGCTTCAGTCTATGCAAATTCTTATAAAACTTGCAATTCCCACCCCCCCTTTTTTTTTTTTTTTTCCTCTCAGAGTTAGTATGGGAAGCCATTACCATTCACCTATGTACATCGCTGGTGTCCCCATACTTTTACCTGTTACCTTTACTTTCTGAGCTAAAGCTGCTTTGATCTAAAAAAAATATTATTAAAATACTTATTTTTCTTGTATTATAAATGTATATAATATGTTTGTGCCGAAATTTTTAATTAAGCTTATAACAATAAAGAATAAGCTTTACAAAAATAAGCTTTATAATAAAGTCCTTTGAAGAATACGTTTTATAAAAGAATGTTTCGGATGCTGTAGCACTTAATAGCCCAAAGCCTAGAGGTACGGCTTATTAAGTTTGATTTAGATAAAAAGAAACGTGCAAATAATGCTTAAAATTACTAAACGATTAAGAGAATCAGCATTAAGATATACTCATAGTGTAGGACCGAGGGCGAGACGAATTGCCCAAGTTTGTTTAACCGAGAGGATATGAGGCTTTCTAGAGAGAGTTTTAATGATTTTTTCTCTAATAATGATGACAAATCACGCGAGAACTGCATGGTTAAGGGAGAGAAGGAACTTGCATAGCAAAACTGTTTTGAATTTATGCTTCGTAATAACGGATAACCAATAAATCTATATCCAACTAGAATTAAGCAATCAGAATCCGAATATGAAATATGCTATAAATATTTTGCTTCTTTAGCCACTCGGGTACTGGTGGTCTCGTAATAATTTAATTAATATAAATAGAACGATAGTTTTATAGAAATAAAAAGGAATTAGGAGAACACTAATGTATAAAAATGTAATAAATGTAAAATTCACCCAAAAAGTATTTTGAATCTCTTGATGTTAAAATAAATGCGCTTCCGAATGAAAGGTTACACGTTCGCCACTATTAGTCACATAATGTGAAACTTGCCTTTTTTTACCCTTTAAGTTAGATTAGGTTATTTGAATATGCCAAAGCCACGAGGGCTGTCTGCCTCAGAAAAGAATGCTTTTGTAGAGGGCTTTCTGAGAGAAATTGAATCTAAGCACAAACATCCACCAGTCTTAACCACTTGGCAGCTAGTGGGCTCTTCTTGCATATTTAACAAACAGATATTAAAAGAAAAATGTACTTCTTAATGATTTATCGAAGTTCAAAATGATATACATATTTATATACACTAAAATAATTTTAAATCGATGAAATTTAAATGTTATTTGAGGAAGTACTGTAATTTAAATTTATTTCTTCGTTTAAATTCCGAAAAAGTATCTCGAATGTTTTAATTATTTTACATTATTTTGTGCGTTTTTAGACCTTCCAACTATTATACATATCTATATATATAACGAAGAA